GGACCACATGACTTTTTTCCAATGCTCGACTGTCCAATCCTTGTGTTCCTGTGCGAATTGGAGACATTTTATCTTGGTAACTGCAGACAGCAAAGGTGTTTGAACAGGCCTTCGGCTTCCATATCCCATATGATGCAGTGTCCGGCTAATTTGCCTACAAACGTCAGGTGGTCATAATAATCTGACCACTCAGTGTATTCCCAAAAGAATAGAAAGCAGGATCACAAAGAGGTATCTGCACTCCCATGCTCATAGCAGCAGTATTCACAATAGCCAAAATATAAAAACAATATAGGTGTCTATTGACAAATAAATGGATAATGAAAATGTGGTACATACACGCAATGGAATATTGTGCAACTTTTAAAAAGGAAATCCTACCACATACTACAGCATAGATGAACCTGAAGGACATCATGCTAAGTGAAATAAGCCGGTTAAAAAAAGACATGTCCTCAAATAACACTGTTTTGCTCAACTTCATTTTATTATAAGGTTGATGAGATGCGATAGGAACTTAATTTTTTAATAAAGATTTTTTTTTTTCATGTCCTCAAATAACACTGTTTTGCTCAACTTCATTTTATTATAAGGTTGATGAGATGCGATAGGAACTTAATTTTTTAATAAAGATTTATTTTTTTTAAGAGAAAGAGGGAGAGAAACATCAATGTGAGAGAGAAACATCGATCAGCTGCCTCCTGATTACCTCCTACTGAGATCAAGCCTGAAACCCGGCATGTGGCCTGACCGGGAATGGAGCCAGCAACCTTTAGGTGCACTGGACTACACCCAACCAACTGAGCCACACCAGCAAGGGCAGGAACTAAATTTTTGTTTATATTAATTAGCCTGTGGCAAATTTGCTTTCATTATACATCCTGTTGGTTAAAGTCGCAGAACATATGGACTAAGTTAAGTGAGGAATTGCTGTATATAATTCCACTTCTATAAAGTATCTAAAGTGGTCAAATTTTAAAAGAAAATAGAATGGTGGTTGCCAGAGGATGGTGGGTAGGGAAAATGCAAAGTTGTAAAACTGGTATAGAGTTTCAGTTCTGTAAGATGGAAAATTCTGGATATTTGTTGCACCACATGGTGAAAATGGTCAACACTGCTAAACTGCACACTGAAAGATGGTTAAAAAGGTAAATTTTAAGTGTTTTTTGCCAAATTAAAAAATATTAATTCTTTTCTTTCACTTCCCTTTCCTGTCCTCTCTGGTATAGTATTCAATAGCAATACAATGAAAGGACAGAGAAAAACAAAGAATACAAGTGCTTCAACAATGTAGAAACAAATTAAGAGAACTCCACATTCTCATTATCAATTTTCTTCTTAACCTGGAAATACCTTAAGTTGCCACTGAAATATTATCCTACTAGAGGCCCTGTACACGAAATTCATGAATGGGTAGGGTTCCTAGGCCTGGCCGCGATCAGGGCCCATCGGAGCCTTCAGGCTTCCAGCTGGGGCCTTCCTTCCTTTCACGCCACCCCCTGGTGGTCAGTGCATGTCATAGTGAGCAAGGGAACTCCAGGCGGGCAATTTGCATATTAGGCTTTTATATATATAGATTGCAAGGCACTACAGTGTAGTGGTTATAGGCCTTTTGGAGCTAGAAAGCACAAGTACTATTCTGACTTTGCTACTAATTACTATGTAGCCTTGTGTAAGATATTCTTTCATTCATTTATTCATTCACCCATCCACCCATCCATCCATCCATCCATCAAAAAGACAGTTTGTTTCCACATGGGTAAACCTGTTCAAACGAATCCTGGACCTCTACGCAGGCTTGTTCTGAAGAATGAATGAAGTAATTCATATAAAACACTGGGCACATGGTCTGGCACTTTGTAAATGGTCAGTAAACATTGCTATTATTGGTACTTTAAAGCCTAGGACATGAACAGGGTGAATTCAACTAAGAGCCCAGTACTCTGTTCCTTAGAGACCTGCCTCATTTGTGGATCATCATGGTGTTATCAAATCAGATACTATTTTGCAAATCATTACGGACGCTTTATCATTCCTGTCAAATGTGTGTTCCTCTCTTTTCCCGGGAAAAGCACTGTCATCTCGGGGATTGGAGAATGTTTGCTTTGGGAACAATGTTTACCCAGAGATGCTGGAACCCGAGACTTGCACACGAGCGACTCGGGTTCCCAGTTCCCTTCCCTCCGGGGCCTAGGCCCCCTTTGGGGGCGAGGAGGGGGCAGAGGGGCCGCACAGCCCAGCACCTGGAGCACCCACACCGGGCAGGCTGGGGCGGACCAGGCCGGCTCCCAGGGACGTTCTCCTGGGAGAATGGAGCCAGGCGTCCCGAAAACGGCCCGGGGAGCCGGCAACGCTCGCCGGTGG